AACTCAGACTGGAGTCATGAGGTCCATGCTTGCTGCCATCGGGACTGCAGATGCCAACATTCAAAGGGGCATGAGGACTCTCCCAGCAGTCCAGCCAACTGTTCTCTAACAGCATTTTAGGATTGCGCAGGTGCTATCTCAGGGTAATGCTAGTCCCAACAAGGTGCTCGAACCTTTGGTCCTCTCTCAGGAGGTCAGTATTTGCCCTCCCAACACTGTCACTCTGCCAGTGCCTTTGTTGGCACCTCCCAGCCAGCCACCCTAGACTACCACTACCTGTAACGCGCAGCCTGAAGCCGGGCCTTCTAAACCCAGAGTTGCTCAAAATCTTCCTGAAAGGCATTTGCAATCTCCCCTACTGAAAGGCAGCTACGTTCCAGCAGCCGTGCATGGCAAGCACTGAAAGAATGAAGTAAAGAATGAATAGTTCACTTTTGCTTCTACAATTCGAGAGGTTGTTGGGCAAAGATGTTATGAGCATGGTTTTGGTGGTAGCTTTCGTTACACACTTTTGTCCATGACATCTTGTGATGGTCCATCACAGGTGGATGGGAAGATGGGAAATAGTGGACGCATAGAAACATTGACACAGAAGCTTGGTGCAGAAGTAGGCCATTCAGCCTTCAAGCCTGCATTTCAGATGTGGTGGATTTAACTTAAAATAATTTTGTAGCCATCAGCAGGGGCACATTGACTCCAGCTGTAGGTTTGAGACTCACAAGTGCACAAAACTATCAATTAATGTTGGAGCAGAGATTGCATTCTGAAGAAATGTCCTCAATCTTTATTTCCCACATCTCCTGCTTTACAATGACCTGGTGTTTTCTATCCTTAAGTCATTTATTTTCTGAACTGATAATGGCCCTACTCTTCTATTGCTTCAATTTTGTTAGCCAACCTTTTATCTGGTATTTCATCAGATTCTATTTAAACAACATTCACTGCACTTCCCTCACTAACCTTCTCTGTTGGTTTGCGAAATATCCTGTAACATTAATCAAATGTGATCTGTCTTTTACAATTCTGAGCTGGCTCTCCAGAGAAGACCATGAACATGTCTCTGGACACACACAGGGCTTCTGACTCCTCAATGATGCAGCAATGGGCACCTTTCTTGCCTGTTTTACATTACCTGTTCCAGCCAGGCATGACTAGCCACTTAGACGATTGGAGTAATTTTGTGTACATTTGTTCATGGGACATGAGTAACACTGTAAGGACCAATCTCTATTACCTACTCCTAACTACCCCTAAGAAAGTGGTGGTGAGTTGCCACAATCCATGTGGTGTAGGGGCATCAACAGTGCTGTTACAAAGTGAATTCCAGCATTTTGATTCAACAATAATGAAGAACAATGATTTAATTCCAAGTCAGGATGATGAATGGCTTGGAGTGGAACTCCCAGATAAGACCATAAGACCATAAGACGTAGGAGCAGAAATTAAGCTATTCAGCCCATCGAGTCTGCTCCGCCATTCAATCACGTTCCTCAACCCCATTCTCCTGCTTTCTCCCCGTAACCCTTGATCCTCTTGATAATCAAGAACCTATCTATCTCCGTCTTAAATATACTCAATGACCTGGCCTCCACACCCTTCTGTGGCAGTGAATTCCATAGAGTCACAACTCTCTAGCTGAAGAAGTTTCTCCTTATTTCCATTCTAAAAGGTCTTCCCTTTACTCTAAGGCTGTGCCTTCGGGTCCTAGACTCTCCTACCAATGGAAGCATCTTCCCAACATCCATTTTGTCCAGGCCATTCAGTATTGTAGATGGTGGTATCCCCATGTGTTTGCTGCCTATGTTCTGAGATCACATTCATGGTGAATCTGAGGCACCTCAGGCATTGCCTCACCTCAGACAGTGGTGGAGGTAGGAGCAGTGCTTGCTGTGATTATTGTAATAGAATATGAGTTCCCTAATGGCGGCTGTTAATCTGGTCCAATCAGGTAGCCCTGGCTGGCACATACAAGGACAGTTCCATACCATCCATCATCCAATGGTCCAGCAAAAAAGAGCAGTCCAAACTTTGAATGCAGGCTTAAAGAAACAGCCTACAGCTTCACTAGATACCAAACTGTCCCAGTTCCTATTTGGTTATAGAACCACCCCTCTTGCAACTACAGGGATATCTCCAACAGAGTTGCTAATGGAGTGAAGAATCTGCACCAAGTTAAATCTGATCTTTCAGGGCCTGGGGTGGAGGGTGAAACAGCATAAGGAATGCCAATGTTGGACACAATACTGTGCTAAGCGTGAGGGACAGGGGATGAAGTTTGGTGTAGGAACCACGGGAATGGGCCTGTATGGGTAAGAGGCATGGCCAACACAATGTCTTATGCAGGGATGTATAAAGTTCAGGTAGGTGCGATGGTTCTGAACAAGCACATATGAAAGGTGCAGATGCACAAACAGTGCAGAAGCAAAATGTGCCTGGCTCCTCGACAGCATTTCTGACTGTTCCGGAACCCATGGGTTCTACTTTTCTGTCAATCGTTGAAGACATCCCAGAATCTGAGATGGACACAGCAGATGTAGCTGCCTTGATGCCTTTGCTACCTTAAGAAGAGAATGAATTCCTTACAAGATCCTGCAGGCGCAAGAGTCGAGCTGCTGTGTGTTACCGCTGCCTATATCAGAGGCAGAGTTGGAGGAACCTAACCCAGTGCTTAAGCGGCCCAGGAGGAGCTACAAAAGAAAAAGGAACCGGCCTACCTCCTCAGACTCAGAGGGGGAGGGATGTGGTGATTGTAACAGAAGGTCAGCCAGGTGGACCTCATAGAATTTGAGTTCCCTGATTGGGGCTGTTAATCTGGTCCAATCAGGGAGTCCTGGCTGACAGATAACAACAGGAGTGTCAGACATCCTCACACTCTTGACAGCTGACTCTGAAGAAGCTGGATCAGTGTCAGGGATTCTCCAAATGTAAATAAAGGGTGATTTGGTGAGGAATACCGGTCTCTATGGAGTTGTTTAACTTTAATGCTAACCTGTGACAGGTTGTAGCAAACCTTCCTGCTGTCCTCAATGTGGAGAGCTTCTCCTCTCTTCAGTTGCAGCTCCATTTGCCTGTTATGTTGGTAGACCCAGAAGCACTCCAACTCCTGCCCCAATAACTGGTACAGACTTTGTATGGACTGGTCACAAACCTCCTCTGACCCATCCCATGACATTGCAACAACCCCCGCCGAATCCAGCAACTTGCCCTGGTAAATCCAAGGACATTTCCACAAATGTTGCAACAGCAGAATCCAGTCAAAAGCATCTTAAGTCAGTTACCTAGACAACAGGGTGCAGGGCTGGATGAACACAGCAGGCCAAGCAGCATCATAGGAGCAGAGAGGCTGACGGAATCCTCCCTCTTAAGTCAGTTACCTGTTTGTTTAAGCCATGCCGGTAGGCAGTTGTAGGTTTCTGCTGCACGTGAATGTATCTCACAACCTGTTAATAAATCCCAATGCACACATCATGCCTATACCAGCATGGTCAGTTTCTGACCAGGCACTTCCACAGACAGCTTGTGTCGATGCTTGTTTAACAGCCAAAATCTTTAAAACCCCATCAGTGTCAAACCCACACCGCCATTTGTGGGTATTTTTCCTCACTAACGTCAGATTGGGGGCAAGTAAGACATTTTAACTTCGAGACAAGAATAATTTCAGCCAAGGTTAATTAATACATAGGAACATGGGAGTAGACCATTCAGCCCCTCAAGCCTGTTCCACCATTGAAAGCGATCATGGCTGATCTATGGTTTAACTCCATATTCCTGCCTTTGGCCCATATCCCTTAATACCGTTGCTTAACAAAAAATGTATCTATCTCAGATTTAAAATTAATAACTGATCCAGCACACACTACCATTTGTGGAAGAGAGTTCCAAACATCTACTACCCTTTGTATATAGAAGTCATTCCCAACATCTCTCCTGAACGGTCTGGCCCTAATTTTCAGACTACATCCCCAAGTTCTAGAATCCCTAACCAGGGCAAACAGCTTATCTGTATCAACCCTACATTTTTCCTGTTCAGGTCTTGGAGACTTTGATCAGATCAACCCTTAGCTTTCTAAATTTTAGGGAAAACAGGCCGATATACTAGCACCAGCAAATGTTCACTGGACACAGTATGTGAAAGTGGAACAATGAATAGTTTTAAAATTATAAACTGGAATCAATAATGTTGAATTGCTGATTTGTGATGATGTCTCTGATGATGCCAAGTTGACTGAGTCTCAAGTTGAAGCTCCATAACTCAGTTTTATCATCCTTAAAGAGAAAATAAGAAACATACCACAGCAAAATGCATTTCTGTGCCCAGAAATGTTTTCGAATGATAAAGCATAAGTTTGAATTTCATCTAAGGTTTCAAAATGGGGGCATTTTCTTGTTTTGATATACAAACTTCCACTTAATCTTTTTAAAGTCTATTCTTTTAATGTGGATGTCAGGAATTTAAAGGGAGGCCCTGGCCCAGTGGTATTGTCACTGAATAGTCAGAGAACTGACAAGGATCAATTATGTGGAGAAGGCCCAACACAACAAGGAGCCTGCCCTCTGTGCCAAGTCCCCTGACTGCCACAAGCCACTGACCAATCACAGACCAGTAGCTACTTGCCACAGTGGCCGCTGGTACAGGCCTGAATATGATGACAGAGCCCAGACCAGGGACGTGAAGGCAGGATGGGGATTGTGGGGGGTGGGGGCGCGCAGGGGAAGTCACAGGGGGCAGCAAAGTTGCTTTCAGCAGCCCCAACATCACCCTCTATGTTATAAAATGTTTACAAATTGATCGATGTATGACCATTTAGCCACCTCAACTGATCTCATCTAAATCTAAAATGCTGTCTAGTTTATGTGGTGAGGAAAACAATTCGCAAATAAAAAGCATCACAACAATATGGCCTTTATAGAATTTAGAATATTATGCAGTGATTAATAGTCTCCTGTCCACACAGTAATAATCTGACTATCTGACACAACACTCAAAGCTCACAAGCTAATTGTTATGAAAGGTTGTTTATTGAATGTACATTGAAATACTTTACCTTAAGCAACTGTGCTATGTTAATAGTACTACTACACAGTATTAATGCTGAGAATAATATAAACATTGTACCCATTTAATGGACATGTACTACATGGGACCAGCCCAATCTAAGAAAAACATATTTTAATTGAAAATGCGCTCAGCTTTTAAGGAGATTCACTTGACCCATAGAATACCGAAATTGGTACCAGAGATTATGTTTGGTGTCAATTTATACAAATTCTTTAACTTATATATTGATCAAGGCACACGGATGGATTTATTTAGAACTGCAGCCAAGTTTCCCTTTTAGCTGACACTGTCATAACAAAAAACAAATACAATTAATTTGCAGCATTTCTGTAATGATGACTAAGTTGAAAATAAAATCTCGGTGGGGTGTTTTTACACAACAAGCTAAACCAAAGAGTCAAAACGTGTGATTATTCAGTAATGACTGTATGATCAGTGATCTCAGAGCCTTTAACCTGAACCAATGACAGAAGACAATGACAGCAGAGGTTTAATAATTCTGAAACAAAAAGGTTCAATAATTAGGAAAATTGCTGGTTCACATGGGTGATCTGCATTGCACAATTCAGGTACATTTTCCGCATGTTCGAGTCATAAAGACTGTGGAATACAGAGATATTGAAGCAATCGTTATTTTTGCTACACAGTAGAGTGAGGGGATGTAGGGGGTTTGTGTCAGTGTTTTCCTGCACAGCCAGTTCTCAATTTAAGGCAGCCTTTACAAGAAAGTGCAGAGCACAGGACACTCCACAAAGACAAGAAAGAGTGAAAATACATGCAGAGTGACCCGATCCTATCTTTGTATTTTTCCTATGGCCCACAACAGAACATTTTCACTGAAATCTCGAAGGATGGCACACACCTGCCTCTTGTGCAGGAGGATGAATAGCACCTTGCATAAAAATAAATGAGAACAGGGACCAAATAGTATAAACTTCCTTCAAAGTATGATAAAGCCTTTAATGTGGATGGTGTGTCCATTTGAATCTGCACTGGAATAAAACAAATCTGCCGTACCGTGTATAGAGGCACCAAGAAAGGAGCTGACCTTCTCAAGGGCAGTTAGGGATTCGTAAGAATGGCTGACTCTGTTAGTGATGTTCACATTCCAGGAACAAATAAAATTAAATCAATTGGTGGTGCACTCTAACTAGGTTTTACAGTTGCAAACAGGGGACTTTTTATTTAAATTGACTTTTGGTACATTTTTGTGCAAATACCCTGGAGCTGAACCTGTGTATGAAGCATGTAATTTCACAAAGCACTATCAGTTCGAGATTGTCACTGGATCCATGCTCATACAATGGAATTAAACTCCTAAAAGGTTGAAAATGTCAGTGCTATTTGCAACTTACAATTGTTCTGCGTGTTTTCATTTGAAAATATTTTAAAGGCACAATACTTAACAGGTCCTCCCACACAGCCCATTCCAACGGATCCACTCCCGGGAACAGTCAAAGTCACAGTGTGGTCGGAGGAGGAGGTCCACATATGCAAAACCAGATGAACAGGTAAATACGCGAAGACCTTGCCCTGTGCACTATGAGGTGTCAGCACAACTTGATGTCTGAGGCAAACTGCTTCTTAAGGCAACCCTGGTGCTTGAGGGTTCCCGAACCTTCTGCAACCTGGCTTGGTATTAAACAAACTGCCCTCTACCTTTGTTTCAACTCAGACAAATACTTGTGCATGTGTTATTTTTGATTATTTGGGCTGCACGGTCACCAGAAAAGCCAATATTTATTGCCCTTGAGCAGGAGAAAGCAGGTTTTAAAGGGTCTGTCGAGGGGATGAAAGAAACAGATGGACAGACGGTGTGGTTTAGGGTGAGAATTTAGAGAGGCTGCTTCCCCTTGTGGGGCATTCTAGAATGAGAAGTCATGGTTTTGGCATAAAGAGTGGCAGATTTAAAACAGAAATGAAGAGAAATTACTTCTCTCAAAGGATTGCAAATCTGGAATTTACTAGAGTCAAATAGCATGGAAACAGACCCTCGGTCCAACTCATCCATGCTAACCAAATTTCCCAAACTAAACTTGCCTGCATTTGGTCCATATCCCTCTAAACCTTTCCTATTCATATACCTATCTGGAACGCTGAATGAATTTAAGGAGGAGATAGATTTTTAATCAGTCTTGCATTGAAAGGTCACGTAGAGGAAGGTGCAGTTGAGGCTGAGATGAGATCAGCCAGGATTGTATTGAATGGCAGAAGGGATTGCCTACTACTGTCCCTAGTTCTTGTGTTCATACTTATACACGAGCATTAAATGATGCTGTGAGCATTGTATGGTGAGCAGTGAAATTGCAAAATGAAAAGAGCCTGCATTAACTTCCAATCCATAAAGGCCTAAAGTGAAATACAGGAGCTTGAAATAGAAGAATTTTTTCTCCATGCCATCAACAAAGGAAAAAAGGAAAGAAACTGAGGGATAATCCTATTACAGAACCCCATCACTGACTTTATTTGCCTCTTAGATATAAAATATTCTCAGCATTGCTTCATTAAGAAAATGCAATTGTTTGAGAAATACTTTCAACCATAAAAGCAACTGGAATTACTCAATTAAACGATTTTGTTACCATAAAGAAAATAAGAATGGTCTGCTGGAGCTGCACAATACATTGTCTAAACTAATGCCAATTGATGAAAAGTCCTTTCTAATCGAGGAGGGGAGAAAAAATACATTCACCCTTCAAGCAACACAATGGACACATCATATCGTTTGAATCTCAAAAACAATAGCTGGTGCCATTGTTTAAGCACTTCGCCAAAGAGGATGGATCAATATTAGAGGCAACATTGAGGGTTAAAGGGCTATAATAATATAGAACGGTGATTTAATGTAAAAAAAGAAGTGAGGTTGACAGCATTCATTCCCGTTTCTGTTAAATTAATCATAATGTCAGGCACGTGCGGGTGGACAGTTGACAATTTTTACTTCATGTAATAAAATATCCAAAGATGCTTCGTAGAAATGTTACTGAACTACATTTGACACTGGGCCAGATCAGAAGATGTTAGGGCAGATAACTAAAAAGCATGGTCATCAAGGTAGGTTTTAGACAGCATATTAAAAGAGGAAAGGAGGGTGGAGACAGAGAGGTTGAGAGGATTACAGAACTGAATGCCTTGACAGCTGAAAGCTCAAGAGGTCAGAAGGCACAGAAAATGGATGTCTCAGACAGTTTTAGAGTTGGAGGAACTTACAGAGATGAAGAACAACAAAAATCTGGAAGGTACTGTCTCAGTAACAATGCCAAATATAGTAGATTGTCATCCGGCTCCCCATTCATACATATTGAACAGCACAACTTGATTCAGAGATACAGATCAAACTCACTACACAAAGTTTAGGCTTGTTCTTTTCAGTTTGAGTATCATTTTAATGGAGTGATCAATCTTAAACTTTGCCAAACCACTTCTCCAACTCTGAAAAATCAACTCCTTAAACTCCTTAATTAAATCCTGTTCCTTCTCAGCTTTTAGTTATTGTTGGAGATTAAAACAAAAACTAAATTACTCTTTTCACGTTTTCTTTCTGTCCTTTCTTTTCCCTTTCTCACTGTTAGTTCAATTTTTATTTCCTTCCCTTTAATTTTCTTTCTGAAACAACATCAAATTCCAAACTTGTACTCTCTGATCAGATTCTTGTCCATTAACAATTCTTCAGTATGATTTGTTAAGGAGATATGCAGTTATTTGCCCTATTCCTACAGATCCCAGATCCTATGTAAAAAGTTTCATGCTGTTTCAACATTCCAATTGCTGCAATTTGTCATGCCCCAGTTTGGGGTAATGCAAACTTTCCAGTTTAAACAAGTCTAACAAGCATTGCTCCTGTGCCAGTAACAGTAAATTCTGCCCCTATAAAATACATCACAAATTATGAGCGTCTGAGACCATGGAAATGAAACAAAGAATCAAAGCTGTATTATGCAGAATGCATACTTAGTTAGATATTGCAGAGTTTACCTCAATTACCTCTGAGACAGAAATTGTTCATGATCAGTGAAAAGATCAAACAGCCATTCATGCTACATGCCACTTTGTATTTTACTGAGCAGGTGGTCAAAAATGCACTGAGTATGAAACAATTTCAATTCATTTCCAAGTGCACATGTCTAGCATGTAACCATTTTTTTTTGGACTTTGGCACCCATCATAATGAACATTTGGCTGAAGCCAACAATATATTGATTAAAGGCCTAGACCTGCAGAAGTACTGGTACACTTACTGAAGCATGCTTGAGTTTATTGTATCTCTTGTGCCTCGGATACTCAAGTTAATTCATTTGTATGCTTAACTAAGCTTTAACACCTTTTGCCATTCATGGGAAGTGGGCATCACTGGCTCAGCCAACATTTATTGCCCATCTCTAATTGCCCAGTGGGTTGGTAAGAGTCAACCACATTGCTGTGGGTCTGGAGCCGCAGGTAGACTGGACTAGGTAAAAGTGGCCAGATTTCCTTCCCTTAAAAAAATGGGTTTTATGATAATTGACATGATCATCATTAGCTAGCTTTTTATTGGATTCAAATTTCACCACCATGGTAGGATTTGAACCTATGTTCCCACATCACTAACCTGGTGTTCTCAATTACTAGTCCAGTGACCAGTAACTAGTCCAATGCCACCACCTCCTCAATTTTCTTCACATTTTTTCCTGAGGTCACCAATCCATCTTGGGGCATCAAATTGTCATGTTCTTGAATAAACCTAGCCAATGAGTATTGGTAAGCCATTCACCATGGCAACATTGCCGCTTTCTCTCACTCTTCCCTCATCCAACATCCACTCATTCGTACCACCATTCATATCCCCCAGGAGTCACTGGCCAGTGAACAAAAGTGAGATTCTTGACTAATCTCCCCATCCTGACTCAATGGCTGGTGATGTCAACTGTCCTGCTCTTTGTAGCCTATTGGCACACAAGGCAATTCTTTTTCCCATCAAGCTCAAGGACTTACCAAAGGAACAATTTTAACTTTTATATGACCTCATGCCATAAACCTTTTAAATGCAGAGGTGTAAGAAACAGTGGAAAGTTTTTAACCAGTGTTTAGCCTTTACAGTGCTTCATAGCCATTTCATAAGATTTAGTTGTGTTTTTTTTCTTTAAATCAGCCAGGAGTAAATAAACAGTCAACTTATTAACAACACAAACAAGGAACAAAAACAGAAGTTGCTGGAAAAGCTCAGCAGGTCTGGCAGCATCTGTGAATAAAAAATCAGAGTTAACATTTCAGGTCCGGTGACCCTTCCTCAGAATAGACACTTTATTAATTTGTAACTGGGATTATCGTTACAGTTAAAGTGCTTATCAATGGGCTATAGACACAATTTGGGAATATATGAAGAAATTTTATTTGCTCCTGGTTACTGGTGACCAAGACTGGGAACGATAACGTGGATTGGATTTCAGTCACTGTACTCAGAAGAGGAAGAATAAAGGACAGAAAAAAAAACACAGAAAAAGGAGGGAGGAAAAATAACAAAAATAATAACTGGCATTTCAATATTTTCATTCATAGTGCAGGAGTTCTCTCTGACAATTCTAAAGTAACTTCCTGAAAGCAGGACAACAGTGTGCTAGAATGAAAGAATCAGCAGACCAACCACTGACCAAATAACCTGGAGACTGCTAAATAATTCAAATAATAACACAAAAAAAAGGCTTTTTTCCTTTGCTTTTCCAGTATGGCTGCTTGGTATGACGATGTTGATTCAACGCTGCTTGAGTTTGCTCTCCCAAAACAACTGGCTCCTCAGCAGCAGCGTCTGCCTGATTGTACCTTATGCCTTCCAACTTTGAAAGCTCCGTTGCTATTGAGCTGAGAGGGATCCAAAGGTGGAATTTGTTGACCTGAAAGCAAAAAAAGCACAACAGGAACATTAATGATCGCTTGCAGAACAAAACAAAACAAAAAAATTCCCAGATTCTGGATTGACAGAATTGGCATATCAGTGATTCGTGTGTTCCAATACATTAAAATATCATAACATGTCTTTCCTCTTCACAGATGTTTCATACCCAATTAAATTAGGCTTTAGTTTAAAATCGGAAAGGCAGGAAAAAATTTTGGTGCACTGATGAAATGCTATGTGGTCTCGAACCCAAAAATTTCTGACTCAAAGTCACTGAGCTATGAGTTAGCACCTGGCCACATCTGGCTCACAGTGAGAACACTACAGCTGGCTCACTCAGTATTCACAGCCATGTTGCCCACTGCTCATCACCTCTCTGCTAAAGGAAACGTCTCGAATATTGATGTTGACAAAAACAATCAAAGAGGCAGTGGCTATCATTTTTCTGAATTTTCAGATTGTTGGTGGTGCCACAGGATTGCAGAATTGTCAACGTTATGCCCCTATTCAAAACAAAAGGGTGTAAGGCTAAGCCCAGCAATTGCAGACGCATCAACATAACTTTAGTGGTGGAGAAACAATAATTTGGAACTAATTAATGAGCATGTGGGCAAATACGGCCTTAATTAAGGAAAGTCAACAGGAGAAAATCATGGATAACTAACTTACTGGAGTTTTTTGAGGAGTTAATAGGGAGGATTGATCAGGGCAATGCTGCTGATGTGAAACATCACCTACATGGAGTTCCAAGAGGCATTTGATCCAGTGCCACAGCTTTGTGAGCAGAGTTGGTGCTCATAGAATAAAGGGAATAGGAACAAGGTGGATCAAAGTTGGCTGAGTGATGGAAAAAGAGTGGTGATTACTGGATAATTTTCAGGCTGGAGAAAGATTCATAGTGGAATTTTCTAGGATTTGTTATTGGGACCTTTCCCTTTTCTATCTATCTGTCTATGCATACACATATATAATTTATGTGTTTAGTGATTTAGACCTTAGTGTACAAAGTTCTCGCAATCATTGCAAACTGTGAGGAGCACAGTACATGATTTCAAAATGACATTGACAATTTGGTGAAGTGGTCAGAAAGGCAGTAGATGAATTCAAATTGGCAGAAGTATGAGGTGATATATTTTGGTAGAAAGAACATGACCAGACCATATGAAATGAAGAGTCCTCCTCTAAAGGGTGTGCAGGAGGAGAGAGGCACCTGAGTGTCGAAGTACATTCATCATTCGAAGTGGCACAATAGGTGAAGAGAGTAGTTAATAAAGCATACAGTTTCCTAGAAACAGGAAGTGCCAGAGAAACTCAGCAAGTCTCACAGAGAGAAACAGAATTAACAATCCAGTCAAATGTGATTTCTTCAGAATTGGAAGAGGCTGGAAAAGTGGTGGGTTTTAAGCATAAGAAAAAGGGGAAGAGGAAGTCGAAGAAATGGTAAAAGGTGCCTTCAAACAAAAGGTGAAGGTAGTTGATGGTAGTAAGGAAGAGACACAGAGGAGGAGATGTGAATAGTACATGTTATAAACAGCAGAAAATAAGTCAACTCAGCTGAGAGTAAATCCGTGCTAATAAGACACTGGGGATGTCATCAGATCATGAACTCTGTCGTCCATTTGATATTCTCACCCAGGCCCCTCCCCCTCTCCATGTTTTTATGTTTTTACTCTTAGTAGAGCTGACCTATTTTCTGCTGATAAAAAAAAGTGGATGTTGGAAACCTGAAACGAAAACAGAAATTGCTGGAAAATCTCAGTAGGTCTGGCAGCGCCTGTAGAGAGAAATCAATAACAATAGGTGGAGATAGAGCCCAAAGGGACAGAAAAACAGTTGGACAGACAAAGGAGTGAATAAAGACAGCCTAGGAGAATCAATAGCTACTAATGGAGATTATTAGTTATTGACAATGGGTTGTGTATTGTAGCAGCCCATGTAATTACATGGGCTATTTTCTGTGGAGTTTCTTCAGCACATGCTGTTTATATTTTGAAATTCTGCATTTGACTAAGCTTTATTAATAGGGGCATAGCGTGCAAAAGCAAGGAAGTTCTGCTGAAACTGTGTAAGTCTTGTTAGACTTCAGCTGAAAATAACGTAGTTTTGAGAGCTAGATTTCAAGAAGGATGTCAACATATTCAAGGGAATGCATAAGAGAATGTGAGTGGTGTGAAATTTTGATTATGAAGATAGATTGGAGATGTTAATACTGTTTTCCTTGGAGGAGAGAAGGCCAGGAAGAGATATAATAGGAATTTTCAAAATCGTGAAGGGTCTGGAAAGAGTAGGTAGGAAGAAATTGGTCTGACTTGTAAAAGGATTGAGAAGAAAAAGGGCACAGGTTTAAAGTGATTCCCAAAAGATACAAATATGATGTGAGAAAAACCTCTTTCACACAGCGAGTAGGTAGGGTCTGGAAATGCACTGCCTGGGAGTGTGGTGGAGGCATTCAAAACGACATTTCGTGATTATTTGAATAAAACTAATGTGCAGGGTTTTTGGGAAAATACAGGAGATTAGCATGACCTTATTTCAAGCAGGAATTGGATATAGCACTTAGGGCTTAAGAGATCAAAGGATATGGGAGAAAAGTGGGATACTGAGTTGGATGATCATATTGAAGGGCCAAATGGCCTACTCCCGCTCCTGTTTTCTACATCTGTAATGCTTATATAGAGAGCCAGTGCAGACATGATGGGCTGAATAACCTCCTTTTACACCATAATAATTCTGCGGTTCCATGAGTTGGGATAAAATTAGTCTTGGCTCTGAAAGCATGCCTGATCAAACAGCCAACTGAAACTTTTACTGACTCCTCAAATGCTGTTTACTTAAGCACAACATGGAGAGGAAATTGGCTGACAAAACCCCCTCAGAGCACAATGCAGCACTGTGGTCTTTCAGAGCTTAATGGTCTCTTTACAGAAATTAATAATCAGGACAGCTCTCTCTTCAGTTCTCCCCTATGTGTAAGCTTGTACTCTATGGAGCAAAATTACGCAATTGGTCTGCATTGCAGTGAAGTTTGCAGTGTGTTAGACTGCCAGGTGATTCCCCTGGCTTGCGTCCTTTTCTCTTCACAGTGCAGCAAACTGTTGTTGGAAAATCCCATGGAAGGGAGAATGTTTTAATCCATGGAGCTGAAAACTGAACCTGATAAAAACATCCCTGCACATTTGGTACTTTCCCATGAGGTAAAGCAAATCTTTCACCTTTGAACGCTCAAGTGCACTTTAAAGAAACATAAAAGGATCTAATATCATTGCTGTAATAAGGGAAGCAATCATGAGATTAAAAAGGCTGAAAGCTATCTCAACAAAATCCTATGTTATGATTCTGATTCTGTGTACAATGAATGGTGCAGACTCATTCTGTTTCATCTCCACATCTGGTTTTTTCCTACGTACAAGCAAAAGCTTTAATTAATCTCCTAAATCACGAATAGTCAACAACCATAAGGCATATTCCCATTTTCTTTTGCAACAAAGCCCCCAAACAAATGTTCATTACTTCCCTTAGGATGTCAGGATTGACATCCAGATATAAATATTGAGAACAAGCCAGACCAGTCAAATCTTGCCTCTGATTAAATGCACAATTGTATTGTGAATGAATGATGGTTAATTCTGCCCCTAACGTATCCCTCAAATGCTGATAGAATAGGCAGCATCTGACCAGCTATGTCATAGATCATAGAAAATTGAAACAAGGCATATCTATCCCACTGTCTCAAATAATAAGATTCTTGAGAAACTGAGTCTGTTCTTGACAGTACTAAGGGATATAATTAATTCATATTGACAGTACTTTCACCATGCTTTCTACATGCAGCATGTAGTTTTTAACCATATTATTGCCTCCTTTCAACCAATCTTTCTACACTCTTTCCATGCTACACTATAAGCTCATGCCTTAACCAAAATGACAGCAGAGCCCCAATCCCAGAAATTCCACCCCAAATCCCAGCATCCACCATTTAACCAAAGGAGGTGAAACAGGGAAAAATTTTAACTTTCAAATATAAAAGTGCAACTGCCCAAGAGCAAAAGCCTTCAAATAGATGCCACTTTCATAAGGTGCATGTCTAAATCCCAACTCAAGGGCTTTTGGCACTTGAGCAAAATAGCTAAAATTCCCAGAGCAATTTGGAGCAGTTCAGATACCCATTTAGGGAAAGGTTAAATACCCCTTTGTGATTGTTAAAAGTAAACATGAATATAGGTAAAACATGTTTGAGCTCAATAGAACTACCAAAGCACCTAAGTCCACAATCTCTGTTTTTTCAATAAAGAAATGCAGTTGAAAAATGCTTGCGATCTCAGTCACTGTTTGTTAATATAATGCTCAAGGTTAACATTGCGCAATTAGTGCTCCATGACTGATTCCACAACCCGTCATTTTCACAGTGGTAGTTCTATAAGTCCACGGTTTGATTGACAGCTTCAAGTGGTTAGCTCATTTGGCTGGACAGCTGGCTTGCGATTAAGAGTGATGCATGGGTCTAACCAACTGCATGGATTTAATTCTGGGTTACTAAGAAGGACTGTCCTCTCAACACCATGCTGACTGAAATAAAGCATTCTTAGAAAATGTGCATGTGGAATGTCTCATTCCTTCAAATTGTAATTATTGTCAGAGATTTTAAAAAATTTAACATGTAATTTTTAAAAATCTTAATTCATCTTTTTTACCACCCTTGTAATCAATTATTTCTTTCCCTATTTGTAGTTTATTTTCTCTGCCAGATTGGAGATTGCATTAGGTATTTTACTTTACAATCCCTGGTTCTGATATTCACTTCGCGATAGTGATTCTTCAATCCAATTGGCTATGAAGATACAGTTGCTTTCCCAATTTAGAGATACTATTTAGAGGGCGCTCAGGGATTTTGCTTCCCAATTTACACCAAGTTCTACCAGTCCATCTCAAGTCTTTGGGCAAGTTCAAATGTCATTTTCAATGTCAAGAGCAAAATCCAGCCCAAAGACCACTTGCAAG